CCATTGGTTATTGGTCTGCTCTTAAAGAAAGGCTGTAAAATGTTATGCTCTTACCTCCTGTGTAATCTGCCTACATGGCAGAATTTGTGTGTCTTCACAGAATAATTTTCCACACTTTTTAAAACAAAGATTTCCCGCTTAGGAAATGACTTAAGTTTCCTTACAATGTGACTTTCTATGTTTATTTTTTCATGTATTATTGTCACTTTCTTTTTTTTTTTTTTTTTTAATTTTTTTTTTCAACGTTTATTTATTTTTGGGACAGAGAGAGACAGAGCATGAACGGGGGAGGGGCAGAGAGAGGGAGACACAGAATCGGAAACAGGCTCCAGGCTCTGAGCCATCAGCCCAGAGCCCGACGCGGGGCTCGAACTCACGGACCGCGAGATCGTGACCTGGCTGAAGTCGGACGCTTAACCAACTGCGCCACCCAGGCGCCCCCTTATTGTCACTTTCAAGTGGGTAGACAAGAACTATTTCTTAGGCACTCATGATAAGCATTCAAATGTCTTAACAACTTTTGATTTTTGCCTTCCCCAAATCAAGTCCTACGTGCAAAATAAAATTTCCTGGATATCTTTTATACCTAAAACTATCTATGAGATGTCCAAGAGGGCCCCTAGAAAATCACAAAGATTTGTGGGGTTTTTTTTCACTTTTTAAAGAGAGAGGTGCTACAAATAATTAGGTTTATTTGATATGTTGCTACTGACCAACTGCATGAAAATAACTGTGAAATCAGAAGAGACTCAGCCTTCTCTAGGTTAAATTTCTCGAGGTAAAAGGTTATTATTTACATAAATATTTCACAAATTGCATGCTGTATGAGAAGTTTCTACAGATCTCTCAGTGCCCTCTGGGCCCATGATCTGCCACCATGTATCAGCACCCCCAGTGGTGCTTTGCCTGATGATAACAACACAGTGTTACCAGTCATGGTTTCAGTTATGATTTAAAATGTTACCTGGGCTGCAATCCTACTTTAATTTGAACCTAACATCTGCTAAGTCAGTGGTTTTCAACTCAGGATGCACATCAGACTTTCCTATGGAGTTTTATTAAAATTCAGATGTGAAGGGGCACCTGGCTGGCTCAGGTGGAAGAGTGTGCGACTCCTGATCTCAGGGCCATGAGTTCGAGCCCCACGTTGGGTGTCGAGATTACTTAAATAAACAAAATGCAGCTGCACAGGACTTACTCCAGACTTACTGAATCTCTTTAGTTGATATTCTTGGCACATCCTTGGTATATTATATAAATTCTGTCTCAGGATTTTTAAGGATCTCAAGATTCTTTTCCTCTATAAAAATTGTGTTCGTTCATTTTTATAAATCAGGTGTCATGTTCACCATCTTTGAATTTACCTTACTACGTTTTAAGACATTGTCTAGATTTTTAATTGGCCTTATTTTGTTTTGCATATCTCAGGAACAACCAAATTTCCTGGGTAGCCACATTATTCTTGTCATGAATTCTCATCAGGTTGTTCACTTTTGAAAATTATCGTAGTAAGTTAATTCATACCTTTTAACGTCTCTGTCACCTACAGACAAATTTTTATTTTACTCTGCTGTTGCAGCTGCTGCTTCCTAAAGGCTCTTCAGTCAGCTATGGGCCAAAGGTTTTATCTCTACCAATGAAGAACTAACTGTCTCAGAAAGACACTGCACCAGGCACTTATTCTTGTGTATAGGCTTCCCATGGCACAGCTCACACATCTTTAAGAACATACCAGTGGAGGGAGTCAGGATTTCCAGAACTCGAGTGAAGAAGCAGATAGGTTTATGAGATTGCTAACCCGAGATTCAGTGGAATGAGAATTAATGATATAGACCTAAATGAACTGATGAGGGATGGCAGTCATTTATGTCTGGAATATTATTAAGGTTAGAGTGTTTGATGATATGTAAGGAAGCCCTTTCTATTTCTTCTTCAGCTGTCTATAACCCAAAACACTTTAGTACATTCTGTTTTTTGTAAACTGAAATGAAATACTTGCAAATATCTTCTTCTCCTTACCTGACCACCATGCCCCCTAAATTCAGAAACTTTTGTTGAGTCTTCCTGCTTTTCGTAGCAATATGGTTATTAGCAAAAGCTCAGTAAGAATCCATCCTTTTTAAATTTTTTCATTTTCACTTAATTTTTTAAGCTTATTTATTTATTTTGAGATAGAGAGCATGAGCAGGGGAGGGGCAGAGACAGAGGGAGAGAGAGAGAATCCCAAACAGGCTCCACAGTGTCAGCACAGAGCCTAATGTGGAGCTGGAGCCCACAAAGCGTGAGATCATGACCTGAGCGGAAATCAAGAGTTGGATGCTTTGGGGCACCTGGGTGGCTCAGTCAGTTGAGCGACCGACTTTGGCTCAGGCCATGATCTCACGGTTTGTGGGTTCGAGCCCTGCGTTGGGCTCTGTGCTGACAGCTCAGAGCCTGGAGCCTGCTTCGGATTCTGTGTCTCCCTCTCTCTCTGACCCTCCCCCACTCATGCTCTGTCTCTCTCTGTCTCAGAAATAAATAAACATTAAAAAGAAAAAAAAAATTTAAAGAGTTGGATGCTTAACCTACTAAGCCACCCAGGTTCCCCTGTCTTTTTTTTTTTTTTTTTTTAAACCAGGATGTAATTAGAAAAATTGGTTATATAACCAAGGCTTTGCCTGGGCTGTCATATTTGACAATGATGATCGCTTAATCAGACATAACCAGCCCCATTTAAGGAACGAAGACTGCCTGCATGGAGCCAATACTAATAAAACCCTCCCAAGAAACCTGGCTTACTGTGTTCTCTTACAGGCAAATAAGGAACGTTATTCCCTGGCAGGCCCAGGGGTCTTAGAATATCTCCGGGGCTTCGAGTAAAGAGGAATTTGCCCAAATTTATAGGTACAGCAGGCAAAACCTAGTGTAAAGACCAGTGTCTTGGCTTGACTTCCAATCTCAAAACAGTAAATAATACAGAGATAGATAGATAGATAGATAGATAGATAGATAGATAGGGGCTTTTTAAAGGCCAATCTAAGATTCCTTACGAAAACTTCTAGCAAAGCAAACTTAACAAGGTCTATATTACAGATTAACACTATTGGTGCACCTATATACATAATCAGATCAAATTTAATGAGATCAAACTCATTTTGTGATTAAGAACAATCTTTGAGGGGCGCCTGGGTGGCTCAGTCGGTTAAACATGCAATTTAAGCTTGGGTCATGATCTCACAGTCCATGAGTTCGAGCCCTGTGTCGGGCTTTGTGCTGTCAGCTCAGAGCCTGGAGCCTGCTTCAGATTTTGCGTCTCCCTCTCTCTCTGTTCCTCCTCTGCTCGCACTCTGTCTCTCTCTCTCTCTCAAAAATAAATAAAGAATAAAAAAAAAATTTTTTTTAAAAGAATAATCTTTGAGACTATTTTTGATCAAAGCAGGGGAGACTGTAGAAAAAAAATGTTTCACTGGAAAACTGTGTATTATCTAGAGGACACCCCTCCAATTATTGAATTCTATCTAGCCTTTCACTGACTTTGGGCTATAATTCTTTGAAGTGGTAGGTAACTGATAAGTCATACAAACTATGTGTATGAAACGACAGTCTCAGATTAATAGCCTTTTCTCCCTCCCAACCTGTGGAAAAACCAGTTTTGCCTCAATATTCCTGACTTATAAATGGGCATGCTCTTTGGATACTTCTTTTTAAAGGTTATTTTATTTTGAGAGAGAGAGAGAGAGAGCGCTCACACGGGAGGGGCAGAGAGAGAGGGAGAGAGAATCCCAAGTGGGCTCTGCACTGTCATCTCAGAGCCCGATGCAGGGCTCAAACTCACAGACCGCACTGTGAGATCACGACCTGAGCCGAAATCAAGAGTCAGACGCTTAACCGACTGAGCCACGCTGGTGCCCCTGGATTTTTTTCAAATTGTGGTAAAATGCACAACACATGAAATTTACTATTTTTAAGTGAACAGTTCAGTGGCAGTAAGTACATTCACATTGTTGTGCAACCATCGCCAGCATCCATCCCCGGAACTTCTCATCTTCCCAAGACGAAACTCCATGCCCGTTAAACACTAACTCCCTATTCCCCTCTTCCTGAACTTTTTCTTAACTGATCATAACATCTTCTGGCGCCCTCATTATGAGTAAAATAAAATCTTTACCACATGTTCATTTTTATATCCTATCAGAGTCATGTTTTCATCTTTTTCTGAAAATATCTCTTCACAGTCCTAAACTCAAGAAAAATCAAATACATAACGGAAATGAGCAAAAAAGGCTGGAAGTGGTGAGGGCTGTCACCAGTGAGGGCGGCCACCGACTGCAAAGCACTGTGGGTGATCAACCATCCCAATTTGCCCAGGACTGAGGGGGCTGGGTATATAGGGTTTTCCATCTAAAATTGGAATAAGTCGGACATCTTAAGAGCACCCATGCTCTGGAAAAGTACTCCTCAACCCCTAGTAATATAATCTGAGAATTTAGGCCTGACGTCTGTTTTTCCAGAGGAGCCAGGAATCTGGGTATGTCAAATTTTACAATTTATAAATGATGGCAACTAACCCAATGTTAAAAATAAACACGGTGCAGACCTCCCAAATCGCTCCAGTGGTGGCCTCTGATGAAGAGGGGGCTGAAGGCCCTCCACCCACCACACACCCCAACATGTTGTGGCCTCCACAGCCTCCCCCTATTTGGTCAGGAGGAAAGCTACTGCGGAAGCCCCCGCACTCATTGTTGGGGTGCTAAGGGGCGGCTGAGATCAGAGAGGTATGCCCTCCCCTGGTATGTCTCTTGGGGCCTGGACCCCCTCCCCTCCCCCCAGGTGAGGTCCCAGGACCACTGAGTTCTGGCTTTTGTGTTATTCAAGGAGTAGGAGACAACAAAAGGGCCACTCAAAACTCCAGCTCCCCCTGGCCTCCGTTCCCCGGCAAGCCAGCCCAGGCCAGGTGTGAGGCTGGCCCCGGAGCGCCCCCGGACGCAGGCAGCTGCTCCCCCTGCCCCGGCCCTGCTCACCAGCTGTCCCTGGAGAAGGCGCGGAGGAACCAGACACCCGGGGCCAAGGCAGACCGCATCGCGCCGGCCGGTGTCCGAAGCGGAGAGGGTGGCCGAAGATGGGGACGGCGCGGGGCGTGTGTCCTTCGCTGGCAGACTGCCGGGTTTAAATGCCCCGCGGCTCGGCCCGCCCCGGCTCCGCGGCCGGACGCCTGCAGCCCCCGCCCCCTTGCACCTGAAGGCCCTCGGGGTCGGGCGGCGCGCAAACCGCCCGGCCAACCTCCTCCGGCACCTGCATTTTCTCCCGCTCAGTCTCCAGGCTAGCGACCGACCGCCCTCAGAGATTCTAAGGGCTCCTCCGTCGGCCTTTTACTCTCTGCTCACTTCCCTCCTGGGCACCGAAAGCGGCGAGCCCAGACTAGCCAGCTGTACGCGACCTTCCGTCCGCCCGCAGCCTGTTCCTGAAGCGCCCTTCTCTCCCGAGGAGCGGCTCCCGACACACACCGGGAAACTGAGGCACGCTGGGAAACCTGACACCCAGTGGTCCCCAGCATTACACTGACCTGAGTTGGGGCGCACCCTCAGAGCAAAGGAGGTTTTCAGGGAGCTATGATGTTGGCCCAAATATATCTCCCAGGCCTGGCAGGGGCTTCCTGTCCCACTCAGGTTCCAGGCTGTGTATTGAGCCAGGCAGGATTCTAGCATTCCCCTTCCCCAGAAGGACTGGCCTTCCACGCACTCTTGCAGGGACAATCTTGCAGCCATTCCTTCTCTCCCTTCTGGAGGCGAGCAGCCAGGCAGCAATGAAGGAGCACAGAATTCTGTGCCTTAAAAGTGCTCTGCAGGTAGCCTAAAGATTTCCAGGGTGTTTCCATCTCTAAAGAGAAGACATTGTGGGGCACCTGGGTGGCTCAGTAGGTTAAGGGTCCGACTTGGGCTCAGGCCATGATCTCCAGGTTGGTGGGTTTGAGCCCCACATGTGGGTCTGTGCTGACAGGTCAGAGCCTTGAGCCTGCTTTGGATTCTGTGTGTCCCTCTCTCTCTGCCCCTCACGCTCCCCAACTGTCACCCTCTCTCTCAAAAATAAATTTAAAAAACCATTAAAAAAACTTTTTTAAAGAAGATATTGTGAGATCTTTGGACACAAGCCCACAGGTGAATTGTACGGGGGGGTGGGGGGGTAGAGGAAGCATTCACTTGGAAAATAAAGTTGTTAATAGAGCATAAAATAGAAATGGGTCTGTGCAAATTGGCTTCAGCCCCAACACCGCACTGCCCCCAAGTCCTAGGGGTGGCCAGACCCTACGCGCAAGGTCAGCAAAAGAAGGCAACAATTCCACCAAACAGGTCAGGGCCCAGAATGAAGGGCCTGGCTGTTCCCAGCCCTAGAATCAAGCAAAAAGAGGGTAAGCAGAGTTGTGAAACCCTGTTGATGCCAGGCAGTCAGAGGCTGAGGTCTGGTGGCAGAAATGAAGACAACAAGGAGAGGACAGGAGGTAAAGGGGTGGAGAGAAAAGAGGAAAGGAGGCGGAAGGAGCCAATGCTAGATTAGGTGCAGTACAGAGAGGTGAAACACCAACGGGAGAGCATAGCAAACAGCAGCTAACTTAACCCCCGATTATACCACTCACTATGCCTAGATGTCCATTCATTTCATTCTCACAAGTCAGTGAGATGGGCATTATCCATCTGGGATCCATTCTGGTTTACCTGGTATAATCCCAGGAGACACCTGATGTTTCAGAATGTATGACAGACCAGTTCTGGGGTCAGCAACACCCAGTAGACATTAGGCCTGAAAGAAAGCAGGTTGGGTAGAAAACAAACTAGAATACTGAGCTGATATCCCCAGGAAGACAGCTACTTGTTCCTAAGGGACTAAAGAGAAGGATAGAGTTGAAATACAAATGAGCCAAGGAAGCCGCTCAGTTACTCGATGCTATACGGGAGGAGAACATGGACATCACTTGAGGAATGGAGGGGACCATCTCCATGGCTCCAGAGGTGCCACCCAGTCTTCAGTGGTGTGGAACATCTCTTTTGATTTCAGACAGTAAGAAGACAAGTAATAACTCTCATCACTGCTCGTTTCGCATGCCTCTCAGGAGACATGGTGTTTGTGCCTCTTAGCGGACCATGCTTGCCTGGGGCTGGAGCTCTCAGAGAGACATTACTAATATGCCCTCGTCGTGGTATGGCTAATGTGCCCGGAGTGCCAACAAGTAGCTGGGAGCAGGGCCAGTCCTGAGATAGTCTTTGCCTTGTTCCAGTTCCTTCCCTGTGAGTTCCAGCCACATACTCCTGTTCAGGGGCCAGGATGGCAGCTTGGTAATGTCTTTGGTAATAATAGACTCTTACCAATGTCCCTTACTTGCTCCTGTGGGTGAGCGGGACAATCTCCTTGTTTCCTGCAGCTTGGGGGAGTGACAAAGAGGATGTTATGGCTCAGATAATCCTTTCACTCACCTACACAAGCTCTCCACTCTTGACTCACCTTCCTGTTCTCTGGCACCCTTACACACTCCTCAAACCCTGCAGGGTGCGGACAGCAGTATCTGATGGCAATAAGAAGGGAATGGATGAGTTACTGAATCTGAAACTAAAGGAAAGGATATCTAGTTCTTATTGTGGATAGTCCTCCATCATTTGTCAAAAATGCTTACTGTGGTTTAGGGGCACCTGGGTGGCTCGGTTGCTTGGGCGTCCGGCTTCAGCTGGGGTTGTGATCTCGCAGTTCGTGGATTTGGACCCCACGTCAGGCTCTGTGCTGACAGCTCGAAGCCTGGAGCCTGCTTTGGATTCTGTGTTTCCCTCTCTCTCTGCCCCTCCCCTGCTAGCGCTTTGTCTCTCTCTATCTCTCAAGGGTAAATAAACATTAAAAAAAAATGCTTGCTGTGGTTTAGTATCATGCGCTTATAGGACAGGAGATGGCCTTTTTGTTCATCAAATGCCAGTTCTTACTGCTAGCGAGTGTCACTGATCACCCACAGGACTTTCTGGGTAGCCAGTAAGCTGTACTGGCCCTTTTAGATATGGCAACAGCATCCTCCCTGTTTTTTTCTAAGGGACCCGGAGACCCAAAGGCTGGAGGAAGCCTATGAGAAGTGCCATGAGAATAAGCCATTAGGCAACAGAACTCCAAAATCCAACCACACACATACAAGTGTTATTCTCACTGCCCTCCTCCCCACTTTTGTCTTACTAAACAGAAAGTGGCATCATTTTTTATGATAATTATTGTGAAATTTCTTGATAGAATCAAGACCCAGACCCTTGATTAATGGGGTAGGAGTTGGGATATTAGGGGACATAGAGATTATCCAACCTTTTAAAGAATCAATTTCAGGGTGCCTGGGTGACTCAGTCAGGTAAGCGTCAGACTCTTGGTTTTGGCTCGGTCATGATCTCAGTTGGTGAGTTCAAGCCCCACATCGGGCTCTGCACTGACAGCTAGCTGCAGAGCCTGCTTGGGATTCTCTGTCTCCCTCTCTCTCTGCCCACCACCCCCACGCTGTCTCTCTATCTCTCTCTCTCAGAAATAAACATTAAAAAAAATAATAAAGATTCAAGTTCATATTAGGCCTTTTTATTAAGATGCTGAGTATTGTAGTGAAAACAACATAGGCTTTGAGACAGAGTCGATCCTAAGATATTACTACTTCTCTGAACCTCAGTTCTTTCAGCTGTGAAATGTGGGTCATAATATCTACTCTGAAGGGTGGCTGTAAGAATTAAAAATTGTGCACATAAGAGAACCTGGGTGGCTCAGTCAGTTGAGCATCTGACTTTTGATTTCCATTAAGGTCATGATCTCACAGTTTGTGAGTTTGAGCCCCACATTGGGCTCTGTACTGACAGTGTGGAACCTGCTTGAGATACTCTCTCTCTCTCTTTCTCAGCCCCTCCCCTGCTTGTGTGCTCTGTTTCTCTCTCCCAAAATAAATAAACTTTAAAAATTCTGCATATAAAAAGTGCCTGGCCAGATTAAGTAGGTTTGGTAAGTGGAGCACTGATTATTATATGTGCATGAGATATTGCCTACAATGGACAGACACCAATGGTCACTACAAATGAGAATAAAACATAGGGGTCAAGATTGGAGTCCTTAAAAACCACCAATGAGTATAGCAAATACGTTTGACTTGTAAATCCTTAATATCCTATGTGTGTATATGTGTTTGTGTGTGCATGTGTATGTATATGGGTATCTGTGTATATATGACTTTACTCAGTGAAGTTATTGTAAGCATCATGATAACATATGTTGAATAATTTGAGGTTGACAAGGATGGATGTATGGGTTGAGTAAAGTGTCATAAAAAAATGAAAGAAGCTATTATTATTTCAAATATGTCAGATGCTGACATTTCACTAAAAAGAACTGCAATTAAATATCTTCTAGCTGGGGCGCCTGGGTGGCTCAGTCGGTTAAGCGTCCGACTTCAGCTCAGGTCATGATCTCCTGGTTGATGAGTTTGAGCCCCGTGTCAGGCTCTGTGCCGACAGCTCAGAGCCTGGACCCTGCTTCAGATTCTGTGTCTTCCTCTCTCTCTGCCCCTCCCCGACTCATGCTTTGTCTCTCTCTCTCTCTCTCTCTCAAAAATAAATAAACACTGGGGGGCCTGGGGGGCTCAGTCAGTTAAGTGTCTGACTCTTGGTTTGGGCTCAGGTCGTGATCTCATGAGTTCGAGCCCCATATTGGGCTCCATGCTGACAGCACAGAGACTGCCTGGGATTCTCTCTCTCCGTCTCTCTCTCTGCCCCTCCTCTGCTCTATCTCTCAAAATAAATTAAACAAACAAACAAACAAATAAATAAATAAATAAATTCTTCCAGCCAACACAGTCAAAAGATAGAGACAAGCAAAGTGACCATGTACCCCAAAAGATTTTGTTTCATTGAAAAGACAATGTTCTGGAAGGGTTTGGCCAAGAAAGTTCTAGCCTTGATATAAATGATCAAAAGTAAGGGCTTCAGTCTCTTCAAGGCAGGACTGATGGATGGTTCATACTGGCCAGAAGAATGGTCTTTAAAGGAGACTACTGTCAGCTGAACAAGGAGGCGGCCCTGCTCTCAAATG